TCTTCAAAAAACCAGCTTGTTTTGCCAACAGTTATTCCAGGAAAGATGCTCTTCTTACCCACATATTTAACCACCATCACCGCCCTTCGTATAAGCAATTTACAAAATTGTGAGGAATGGAAATTTATGCACTGCGGTAAGTCGCATTGGCTGATACGTGCTTAATGTTTATTTTGTGCCACTTGGACACGCAATAACAAACACTCCTGTGCACTTTACGTTTGTATTTCGGAAGTAACGGTAAATTGTTCAAAAGCCACACCTGAACGGCGATAACAAAATGTTGAAGATGGGCTTCCAGCCTACGGGGTAAGGCGGAGTGGAAATGGGAGTGGGCTCGGTATCGCGATCTTGCCGGCTGTGTAGCTCCGCTGGCCGGCTTCCGGCATTGTGCTCCAAGGGTTTGATTTGCCGCTGCAATGTATTTAAGTTTAGGCTCTGGCTTTGTTATTTCTTTTTAGCTGTTTGTGCTAGCGGGTAAAGTGTTTATTTTGTGAAGGGAACGCTTTTTCCCTACAAAAGTAACGCGATTTTGGTTTTAACAAGATTTATTTCAAGAACTGTCATAAAGCTAACGCTGCTGACTTCTTGCGAAGGCAGCTATGCCGGCACGGAATTCGACACTATTCGGTTACTGGCCGCTTGCAAAAAAAAATAAATAACAGCTGGCAAACAGCAAACTCATTATAGTGATTTGTAGTCCAATTGTACTCTATTTTAAGACAAGTTTAAACTATACGAAGAAAACACGTTAAGGCTCAAGAACACATGCATTATACAGGAAACACAAACACAGTCCGCTTAGTGTGTGTGTTCATTTCTTTCTTTTAACGTATTGTCTCCACCCAGAATAAACGTGTCTAGGGTATCTGTGAACCAACTGACCCAACAACGTGCCTTACCTACAACAAGCATTCACTTTAAGTATCCCGTTACGCCAAAGAAGCAGTGTACGTTATTCGCATCAGTGTTCATTGCCTACAAAAGCAGTTTTACTTTTTAATGATACTTTTATAATGTATTTAAGGTTGCTTGAAGAAATAATTCCTTTGTAGTCATTTAAACAGAACCACCAAAGGATTACCATACTAAAGGGGTGATTGTTATCTACGAAAAATTTCTGCAGAAAATGTTGGTGCAGTCAAACAAGTAAACACAACAGCAAGAAATGTAGAAAAGAGAATAAAGTTATCCACTGAGCGAGGTTATTTGTCGCTTGTTGCAAACAATTACTATATTGCTTGTTTGTCTTGACAACGCAAGACAACCATTTATTTTTAGTGCCTAACTTCCCTTATGTGCATTTACTGCCTGCAGCTCATCCACCAAGCTGATTAGTCATATATATATATATATATATATATATATATATATATATATATATATATATATACTGTCCACCAACATCCGTTAGCCAGTATTCAATATTTGATATCGAGTATATGCAGTATGCACTATCCAGTTTCCGCTTTTCAGTATCCATTCACTACAATATTTCACTAATATAGTGGATGGTGGTTTCCATTATGCCCATCATTTCCCTTTTTTCAACAGGTTGGCCATAACTACTTACGCGCAATGAAGCCCAATACGTAAAAATTGCCCGATTGAAACGTCGCTTTTCTAAAATCGCATTCTTCGAAGCTGAAGAGATTTAGACCTCCCAGGTTGCTCCTGACAGCTCCCTAAATAGACTACAAAACAAGACCAGCTGCACAGACCGCTTGATCAGAGACTACAACAAGCACTCTCCACCTGAGCTGCAAGGGTGACTATTCTAGTAAGCTGTCACAAAGACCACTGCTACCACCACATTTCACCAAGTCGCAAAGGAACAAGCGATGGCGATCGATGCGTCGCGCTTTCAACAAAGCAAGCTGCCACCAAAAGCTGCTGGCCGTACTAGCCGGTGCTTCTCTGACTCATATGTAAGAACACGCAACCTCCGGTTGGTTATTGGTACGCCTTAGTGAACTGCCACACCAGTATACTCTTTCAATGAATTGCATTAGTATTTCCTTGAGTGCTGTTTTAGTTGGAGGTATTGATATAACTATAAATCTGTACACAGCACGCCCTCTGTACTGCCAGCAGTGGCCAGAAAAACAGCCGTCGTTCAATATCGCCACACTAGAAATGCATCTCTTGCAATGCTTGTCTTTCTACTTACTTGAGGTACAGTTAAGTAATAGAAATGTTCCGAAGCCTAAATGCAGAAACTTCAAACATCGCAACTCAACTGCATGAATCGAGAGCGGTCTTATCAGTACCCTCTCCCAGCGAGCATTATAGCCTAATGTGCCAGACGCGCTGATCTACGCGTTATCGGCGCTTCTTGTTTTAAGTGTACATTTCTCAAGTTTAAAAATTACTCTGAGCTTAGATATTGGTAAACCTAAATCAACCATTTATTATTGTGTGCGCAACCCGTACAACAAACGGTGGCAATCGATGCGTCGCGCTTTCTTCAAAGCAGGCTCTCACCGGAAGCTGCCGGCCGTACTAGACGGTACTTCCCTTACTGGCGTGATTTTTCGTGATTCACAGGCGTGATTTTTCTTTAGTAATTTGGTACTCGTTAGTGAACCAACACACTGGCACACTTTTCCAGCAGATTGTATTAGTAGTTTCTTGGGTGTTTTGTTCAGTCATAGATATTGATATAATTGCTGATCTGTGCCTGTCACGCCCACTGCTTACTGCCATGTCGTCGCTGCGCGAAAACACTGTCCATTATTGAACCGTGTACGCGCATTTGTTCCCAAAATGTATGATAAGACCTGTCTTCATGTTGACGAGTAGCAAAAGGAAGGAATGGCTATGAAAGAAAAAAAATCAATAGCAACCGGCAATCTGTGGTTCATTTGATAGTTTTTTAAGTTTACATGCAACTTCCAGAAAAACTTTGTGCTCTTGCCGAAATGCGTATGGTATTCGGTGACCGGCAGCTGTTCGTTAGTGTCGAATAAAGACGCAATTTTCATTTAGAAAAGAAGATCACGTTTATCTTTACTGTGCGACTTGTAAACATGAAACCAGACGGGATGTGCGTTTGAGAAATATCCATTTTAAAGCAAATAGAATTATCTGGCATGGTGTAGTGGTTAGAGTACTTGGTTGGGGATTCGAAGCTGGCGTGTTCAAATCCTGCAGGAGGACGTTTTTTTTTCTTTTCGTTGCGTCAATGCGCTCCATACCACTTCTTCTACAAATAATTTGTTTATGGCGAAGTAGCACTCGGGTGTTAACGCTGTAAAGCTGTTTTGCGCTGAGTACACAGCGCCTTCCAGTAACAGTTGCTCCAGCGTCCCAGTATTTGGCACAAAACTAGACCCATAATATGGCATGACACTGAACGCTGGTACCTTAGTGGCGCTGGGGTTTGCAATAAGGATCATCAGCCCACCAGCCATATTGATTTTATATACAAATATACAAGTGGTGGCATCATATACGGAAGAAATTCTGTTACAATTTGAAAGAGGTGATCGAGGTGCCGAAAGAACGTCTTGGGCATGAAGGAAGTTGATAAACAGCAAAACTCAGGTTATGTTTGCAATACCTCACATGATCCGAGAATACTTAGCAACACTTAGCTAATTCTAGCATAACTTAGCAAAACTAAATTAAAAAGGGGCTGCAGCCTACCTCAGCTAGGCCCAGTTATGCAAGAGAAAGCTTGTTAGACTTTGTTATGCATGTCCATCATCGTAGCCGAATTACAGGTTGTCAAACGAACAATAAGCCTAGCAGAGTGTTCCGTATACTGCAAGCACATTGTGCCGTGGTTTTATGACTTTCCGAAGTCGAACACGAAGAGTCCATAGCCGTCCCTGAAGCACGTCGCTGTCATCTGTGCATCCCTTTCTCGAGGTTTAGCTCACGGAATTCATGTTCTTCCTTCGTTTCAGCATACCATTCGCACACTGGTACTCACGCTTCCTCTCTTCAATAGGTAGCGCTACGGAAATATTAGGATGGCCCAACGTAGCTTCCCGTTTCCTAAGCTGGGTTCCGGGCAGACAACTTCGTCAGAGATGAACCAGCCTGCCAACTTCTTTCTACTAATGCTCGAACATGGCACAACGGTTCAGCTCACACTGGCTTCACGTGAAAGTGAAAGCAGGAAGATTGACCAGTCACGTGCTTAGACAGATAGAGATGGTTGACGAGGAAGTGGTAGTCATTCTAGAAGCGGTTGAAGCAGCGGCGGTGGCAGCATGTTCTGTGGTATGACATCAAAGACAGGCTTCAGCACTCGATGAAGCTCGCTTGACCAGGCCACTAAAGATTTCTCTTTGAAATTGGTTAAAATGGTGTGTCATTGGCCGCCGTTTCAATTAGTGGACTTGCCTTGGTAAAAACTCAAAAGTGACTTGAAGAACACAAGTCCTCTTGTCGAAAACTTTGGCCTATTGACACTTCGTATGCGCCAACTTTCCTTCTCTTCAAGCTTATGTTCCCCTTCAGCCAAACCTAGCAACCACTTAGCTGAGCTGGAGCTAGCTATAAGATGACGAGCTTCACTTGGTCTTAGCCTTGCCTCAATGAGGGCAATCTATCTACAATATTCAAGGATAAATCGATAAGATGCAATATTTCTTGAAAATCCTTGCTTTTTGGTGCTTCTCTTCACAGAGACCCATCAGTCATGTCACACATGTGAGAGTCGCAAAATGAATGAACCACGCAACGGCAATGTTCCACATGCCTACAATAAACAAAGGGTTAATCATGCTGAATTAAAGTCCTCTGTAGTTTATCAAATCCTGATAACTTGGAGTCATATATAAATACGAAGAAAGCGCGGTAATATCATCACACGTTGCCAGGTCTGCTCATGACATCTTTACTGAAGAGGTTTGTCTGCCGTAGGGCCGCAGCTCAGACCAATACGCCCAAGAAACAATCGAACAATGACAATGATAAAAACAATGGACGTGTGTCAACACGCTCTCTTTGTCTGTAGCTTCCTAGAAAACATGAGGTTATTTTCCCAGTGCTCTTCGACAGAGCGCATGCTCGTTGACCACCTGTGTAAGTACACATGCCGCTTCTAGAAAAGACATTCGAAATAGCGGGTTGTCCTCCTTTGACTCTTCTCTTCTGCATGTCGTCTTTAGTGCAATATCCCTTGATCATGCATAGTGAAGCCTACCAAATTATTACTTTGACCTATAAAGTTATCCCATGTAGGTACGCACATACTAAATGTATGAATGACAAGACCACCGCTGCAGCTGTAACCAATTACAGGAATTGTGTTATAAAATTATGGAGTTCGTCACTAAATAAATGAGTTAAATGAAGGGCTTCCAATTACTATAAAACGTGACAAGTTACGAGTGATTGATGAAGTGTTACGTCTTATGTAGGTGTGCGTGGCAAGTATGGGCGTAAGAGTATATGTGCCAGAGTGGTTAATTCGAGAACAATACCACGGATCCAGAGCCGAGAACCTATAAAACCAAAGAAAAGATATGAAGGTATATTTAATGACTGAGGCTGCTTGCAGGTTATCTCAGAACGCTGGCATGGTACTCGAATGCTGCCGCATGTATTTGCTTAGCAATATCACATCAGTATCGCACTGCTGAAAATTAGATGCACATCAATCCAGTCCACCATCATGCACACACCATTGAAGTACATGAGTCCACCATCATGCACACACCATTGAAGTACATGCGTTTTGTGTACTTCAGTGCACGAAATAAAGAACGGCCTGGTTTTTTAAGCGCAGTATATGTTCGTAATATAGACATACATTGCCAATTCATGTGTGTTATAATGTGCACGCTGGGGAGATGAATCGTTGGATCATATATTCCGGCTGAATAGAATAAACGTAGGAAGGAGAATAGGCCCACCGTGAAACGCGTGCAGTGTTTCTCAGAGTATACGTTAAACGGAGCATCCTGCGCAGAGTGTGACGCTATCACACTGCTACATGCAGGGTGTGTCTTGCACAATACGAGTTACTCTCAGCAGGACTGCAAAGAATACAATAAAGGAGCGTTGGCGCAGCGGTCTGAAAGCTTATGTGCTCAAAGCCACAATTGTTATTTCAAATGTATCTTGCAAACTGCATCCAGTGTAACTACTCTGTTGTTCGCATAACAATATTCCAACACATGGAAAAACAGTTCTGGATACATTACCTTCCCCATATTCAGAAGCTGTGTGCGGATCAATTATATGTCCTTTCAATAGCTCCCCAATGTGTCTTTTTTGTTTTGCTTTTACGTTTTAACCATGTCACCACCGCTGCTTAACAATGCTTTTTTTATTAGAAAGTGCATATTCGCGTATATTTAGGCATGAAAATAGATATCCAAGAATGCGTGGCAATTCCAAGCCGGGCTTTTTTAAGCCCAGAGGGTGATTGCCTCACCACAACTTAGCAATGCTAGAATACACTTCCTTTTTAGTAAAATTAACATCCGAGTCGAATAGATATAGCCCTTATAGGGCCAGATACACATTACAAACAGAAACACCGCTTTTTTAGGGTTCTTTTGGAACATTAATGAAATTCGTGTTTCGTGTGGACTATCTTGTCATTAACCAGACACCTTCTCTGGAAGTATGTTCATAACTTCAGGACGTAAATGCGGATCTTTGTTTCGACCATCATTCACACAAATATTATCGGCAAGATTTGGAGTTGTGTGCTTACACGAAAGCCAACATTATTGTTAGCAGGCAAATTGATTGTCACATAGGTATCTCAAGCGATTTCATGAGCCAATGCTTATAATACATGTTTAGATGTCCTTTTTTCAATTTATAATTGTATACAACCTGTGGCGTAGCTTGGAACTGCCCCTCAACCTCGTAAATTTTCACTTCACATGTTTACACACACGTACACACACAAACGTGCACACGAGTACCAATAAAACTCAGTTGAACCCTTCCATTAACCCCGAAAAAAAATTTCTGGATACACTACTGCGGGCTGTACATCGGTATTCTTCTAAAAAGTAATCTAGCAGAAGACTTTTCGCGAAATTTCGCCGTTGTCTTGTCTGAGCATAAATTTTCAGACAAACAATGATGTTTACTCGACCTGGCCTACGATGCGAAAACATTGTGACATGGCTATTGTTTTGATTCCATAACTAAAAAGACTGTGCAAAACTGTCAGGCCAAACTTGCACGTAGTTCACTAAAAATTCAACTAATTGTGTGCTTGTAGAGTCTTGTAAAGCCTGATGATGATAATAGTGAACAGTAATGGCGACATCATTGAGGCTGTATATATGGTTATACATAATTGAGAGAAATACTAAGCAGACGTTTGACCCCAGGAGACTTTTACATAAATGATAAGTATAACGTGCAAGACGAGCAGCTGAATATGCAGTAAATGTAGAAAAGTGTGTTCAAGTATTCACATCAATTATGTCCGATTTTACAGAATAAGTTTAGCTTCGCGAATCACCATGTCCTGAAAACCAGCCCATTTTTTGCGAAATATAATATGTTAGGCGAGAAGAATAAAAACAGAAGTTTCCAATAGGGCGGAACGTTCTTTTTTTACTGTTTTGAATCCCGAGAAAATGGGATTTTACGAGATCCCGCAGCATAATTATTGTATCTGACAAATTGAATGTTTTGCTTATTTGTTACGGGAAATTAAAGTGTATCAAATACTGTAACTCTGTATTTTATTATGAACATTGGAAGCAAACAATGCGGAGAAAATTCTTTTTGTGTATTTATGATTCAGTGTATATATACTATTTCGGTTTGAATCTAAAAGCCATACTTTATAAAACTTGGAAGGGCGTGTCTACACATGAACTTAAAAACTGTGACAAGTGCAATAGGACAGAACAAATTCAAATGCAAATGAAAAAATGCAAGTGGAGGACATATCTCGAAAATAACAATATTTTTTTTTACATGCAGCGTTCGGAGAAACAATTCTTCACCAATATATCCTGCATGGGCTTCTACATTTGTGCATGGGTGGGAAAAGTAAAAGGCATTCTCGAATATTCATTCTGCGACAACTGGAGGACCTCTAGAGAAGGACATGCCTGGAGCGCATTCTTGTGTTCTGCTGCTTGGAATGCTGGCAAGCTTTTGTGCGCAAAGCGAGCAGTCGGGCGGTTGGACCAACCTCAAGCATCCAGATAAGCCAAGACTCCGCGCCCGAGCGGAGTACGCCTACCGCGAGCACTATCACTGTATGTGTGCCTTGGAGATACATGTGACATTGGCTAAAAAGCAGGTATGTGTTGCGTAAGTTTGGTAAAGTTAGAGTTACCTGGCGGAGTACGCCTACCACGAGCACTATCACTGTATGTGTGCCTTGGAGATACAAGTGACATTGGCTAAGAAGCAGGTATGTGTTGCATAAGTTTGGTAACGTTAGAGTTTGCGTGCCTAAACATCAGGTACAATCAAATACAGCTGGGTTTTGGTTAAGCATTTAAGCATGTCTTTCATGATCCTAATGACAACACAGGCAAGTATATATATATATATATATAAATATATATAAATATATATATATATATATATATATATAATAAAGTCTTCTTTGATTCGGCAGTAATATAGGCGCTCAAATAAAGTAAACGAGTGAACGAAAAGCGAGGTTTCATTGGCTAAGTGGTGGGCGCAGACTGTCCTTCGTCAGGGCATTCACTTTGTGCCCTGACGTCCCCCACCATCATTTGAGGCAATGCCCTTTCTGCCACAACCCGTTGTCTCGTCTTAGTCTCAACGCGGTTCTGGGAGACGACCACATGTTCACCCGATGGACTTTTCGGCGCACGGCCAACCATCGACCCAGTTGCTCCCGTTGAGGGGAACCAGGTCATATTGCCCGCTATTGCCATCATGGTGATTCTGGGTTCGAAAACATTTCTCGTCCCGCTTCTTTCCACATTGAAGACCGTCATGCTTAGGACGCTTATCAACTGTCGAAGGGCCAAGCGTATCCTCCGCTTGGCTAGCGATCTTCATCACTTGAGCATCACATTTCTCTGAATCTTGAGAGCTACGAGGACGTCACCATAAGCAGTTCGCCTAGGCCGCGCCGGGGAAAATAACATCTGTTCGACCTCCCGGGGCAATGTTTCCTGTCGCCGAGACCCTGAAAAGTACGCTTTACCACCGCAAGCACGTCGCTGTTGATGACAGCAATACCGGCACTGCATTTTTGGGGGTTCTCAACATGGCCACTATTGCATCAGATCACCAGTGAGCCTTAACTTTAACCACTTATTGATTATTTCGTAGGACGACGTCAAGACACGCCGCGATGGTTTGCTAGAGGACTGCATTATTTTTGCTTGCTGAATGATGTTCTCTATAAAAAACACTTCTGTCCAATCGGCAGTACGTGCACTTGTTCGTCGTTGCTGCATTCTTTCGAAAGAAATTGTAGAAACGTGCCATGATGAAGCCATTTCTGGTCGTCTAGGCTACACACGAATACTGTGCAGACTGCAATGCCACTACTACGGGCCATATCTTCTTGCTGCTTTTAAACATCACGTGCAAACTTGCACCGACTGAAAAAGACGCAAAATGCCTCTCGGCAAACCAGCCGGTCTCCTACATCCTGTCAAAGCACCAGAAAGGCCGTTCGCCCAGATTCGATTGAATCTCATGGGCCCAGTCCAAGCTTCCAGCACATGAAACAGATGGATTATTTTGCCACCAGTTACCTCTTCCGTAGGACGGAGACTAAAAGTATGCAGCGTGGCACTGCAGTAGAAGTCGCCCAGTTTTTAATAGAAAGCATGGTTCTTCAGCATAGCGCTATAACTGCAGTTATCACAGATACAGGAACTGCTTTCACTGCATGACTTTCAGAGATGGTTCTCAGACTCAGCGGTACAGCTCACCGGAGATCAACTGCGTGTCAACCACAGAAACGTTCACTGACGGACGACTCATAGAGACCCTCACAGACATGCTCTACATACACGTCGACCCGAACATAAAAACTGGATTCTGATATTAGAGAGTTTTCGAAAAGAGAAAAGGTCTTTTCGTATGGATGCTTTGGGTCAAGCAGGAGCGAAGAGTTTTCGAATAGGATTTTCGGCGCTTTGGATAATCACCCAATTTTTGCTCATGTCAAGTGAGATGGTACCGTAACACTTGTTTGACGTGAAACATTTGAGGCAAGCTTTTGCGCTCCCGCTAAATTCGAGAAATAGCGTAGCCAACTCAAAACCCAAACGCGGTTTGGGTGTTGCGCATGTGCAGTGACTTTGACGCTATTTTTTCGGGGCCCCAAACGTTTCGGGCCCTCATTCAACAACTACCTATTACCGTACGTGACCTTTGCTTACTATACCACTCGTAAAGAAACTACGGCAATGACACCGTTCGATCTATGGTCGCGAAGCCACAGAAACTTTGGATGATATGTTGGTGCATGAGTGTGACGACGTTCATACAGACGCCGAAACACTTACTCAGCGTGCCGAGTAAGCAGCTCACGCAAGAGCGCATCTGTCATCAGCAATATCAAGATGCACAACGGTACGACTCCCGGCACAATTTGTTCAGCTACACAGCAGGCGACAAGGTATGGGTCTGGATTACCATACGTTGACGTGGACTGCCTGTTATACTGCCAAGACGATGCTTTCACCCATACAGTCACCTGACGCGCCAACGACGTGAACTATACATGGTTGTTTTCGACAGTGACCATATTTCTAAGCGTCGAAAACATTTACCCAAAGTCGTGCACGTCGTGCACGTCGTGTGGATGGAAGCGTATTTGTCCATATCTAGTTAGTTAGCACCCAGTTGCCGTGTGGTGGAGACCAATCCATACGCCAGGTCGAGCGCCTATGCTGCGCGTCGGGACGATGTCTCATTCGGAGGGAGGCAAATGTCACGTACTTGAGGCATAAAAACGATGATACAGTTATTCATGAGCTGTGAGGTACAATAGAAAGAACGAAGATAAAAAAACTCGCTTGCGCGTTTTATTAAAAAGGGACCAAGCTACCTGTATTTTTTAATCTCTGCGGCAAGACCTTTTTGTTGACGGCATGACAGCGTGCACACACAGACGCATTACACACACACACACACACACACACAAGTATAGATATTGTGGGCATTTAGTATACCAATCCTCTTCATCTGTACATTATCATCATTATCAAGTGTTGCTGATGCATCCTTATCGTTGTCACGTATCATCATCGTCTTGGTTCGTTCATCTCAGCTGTCGGCAGCCGGTTCTTCGGGCCTAGTAAAGGTCTTCCAAACCAAGACTTTATATGTGGTGGAGCATGCTGTTAGATCCCTCGTCATCCTCTCGACCACTCTATCCCCTGGAGCTATGTTCAGGTCGCCACTTGGGCCAGGTGTCCTGAAATATGCCGCACCAAGAAAAGGTCGGTGCTGCAACCGTTCCCACTCCACCACCGCGTGCCGCGCCTTTTCACGTCATTAACAGCCTCCAGCGTGAGCCCCATCCCTTCGCTGGTATGCGCGGGGAAGATGTGGAGGAATGGCTGGACGATTTCGAACGTGTCGGCGCTGCTAACCGGTGGGATAACACCTACAATCTCGCTTACGTGTCATTCTACCTCACGGGTGTCGCGAAGACGTGGTTCCTCAACCACTTCATCGACATGCCCGACTGGTCAGCCTTCAAAGATCAGCTTCGCCATGTCTTTGGCACACCGACTGCTCGGTTGGCTCTCGCAAAGAAAGCTCTCGCGGCTCGGAAACAGCACATTGGGGAGTCGTATACATCCTACATCGAGGATGTCCTTTCACTTCGCCGCCGGGTTGAAACCCCAATGACAGAGTCAGACAAGGTACGCCAGCTTCTTAAGGGGATTGCACCCGTCGCATTCAATGCTCTTGCAATCCAGAATCCGGCTACTGTTGCTGATGTTGCGACAACCTGTCAGCGCGTCGAAGAACTCGAGTCTATGCGCCTACAACCGGACAGTGACGCGGCCCGTATTAGGGCAGATCCAAACCTGCGAGACACAATAAGGGTGATTATACGTGAAGAATTAGAATCAATGGGATTCACACTACCTTCAGTGTGTGCCATTCAGTATTAATCAACGTCATTGCGGAATGTCATCAGGCAGGAGCTCACGTCCATGACCCACATGGCCGACCTGCTGCCCACTGTCGCTCGTACTCTCCCATCGTTCTCGCATGCCGTCGCCGCACCATCAGGCACCGTTAGCTCGACGTCGCTGCCACCAACGTACGCGTCGGTTGCTGCCGCACCTCCTAGAAGCTTTCCCACGAGCTTTCCATCACCACCGCCTGAGCCATCATCTGTCCCTCTCACTGCCCTCTCTCCCGGTGCATCTAACACAAGCTACTACCATCCTTATCGATCGACCCGCCCTACGTGCTATTATTGCGGCTATCGTGGTCACATTTCACGCTTTTGCCGCAAGCGCCAGAAATATGAGCGCCGAGGGTACGACATACGCGAACGAGACTATACCGCAGGAGCCTTGTACCAGGGCCGTCGTTATTCGTCACTGCCGCGTCGGTCTCCATCTCCGCCAGCATCCGGTGAACTGCGCAGTAGTTAGTCATCGATCAACCAGACGCCGTTCACCATCGCCCTACCGTCGCTCCTCTTCTCTTCTTCAGCCTGCTTCCCTCGCTTCTGATCGGCGTCCGGAAAACTAAGCGATGCAGTTTTTGGAGGACAAACTGCATTCCAACACAGTACTCCAATTCCTCCAGCGCGCCCTTACAATATGATTGCAGTCTCAGTTGAGGGAGTGCACGTTGATGCTTTGGTGGACACTGGGGCTGGGTTTTCTATTATTCGTGCTGATTTGTGTACCCGTCTTCGAAAAGTCATGACGCCTTATGATGGACCAACACTGGTTACAGTCCAGGGAACAATGATTCGCCCATCCACTCTCTGTACTGCCCGTGTGCTAATCGACGACATTCTTCATCATATACAATTCGCTGTGCTATCCCCGTGCTCCCACGAACTCATTTTAGGCTGGGACTTTCTTTCATCTGCTTCCGCGGCTATTTGTTGTGCACAACGTGTCGTCCAACTCACTGACACAGACCACTTGCTTAGTGACGAAACCTACAGGCCAATTCGACTCATCGCTGCTGTAGACATCGAGTTACCTCCAAATGAACATCAATTATTCACTGTTTTGTCCAACGACGTTGACTCTGGTGACATTTTGGTCACTCCATCGCCCTGTTGCCTTAATAAAGGCATAGCTCTCGCATCAGGTG